CCCCCGATGGAGAACTCTTTGACGGTTGTAAGGTGACGACTGCGACTCCTTGGCTTGCTTCCGTCCGTCGCTGACTCTTCCGGCGGTAAGTTCAGCAAGGCGTCGCAACGCTGTGTCGCCAAAATGGCGGACGATCCTCGCGGCGGCCCCAAAATGGCGGCTTCCCGCCTTCCGTGGTGCGCCACGCCCAAGATGGCGTCTTCACGCCGCGTGGCCGATGGCGGCGCCATCGAAGACGACCCGGGCTCCTGCCGATCACCACCATCACCTTCCAACGCCGCCCTTGGCGTGACAAGGTCACACAACTCTGTGATGACGGTTTTTAGGGTTGCCAGTTGCTCCGCCATCCGGATCCATCTTAAATCTTCGTCCTTCAACGCAGATGGGTCGGACGAAGGGGCCACCTCCTCGACGCCCGGGCCCTCACGGATCTCTCCCTCCGCCGAAGTGAAGCCGACCTCAGGAGGAAGATCGTCGTCGTCCGAAGATGAAGCCGACGCCGGGGATGGAATATTCTTTTTCCTCAGTTGTTTCGCCATGCCGTTTCACTTCTGACTCCAGTGTAATAAAAAAGACTCGGACACTTCCTTCTATCTTCGTGTCTTTTATTGGGTTCTCGTCCTCACCCACACGGCACTCTGTTATAACTCTGTATTTGTAGCCCCCGGCTATTCACTGCTATTATAGCTCCTTCTTCCCTCTGACTCTCCGCTTCATCTACTGTAACCTCCTCCCTGCAGACTCGCTGCTACCTCTATGCAGACTCCCGCTGCTACCCCTATGTGCAGACCCTCTGGCTGCTACCGTATGCAGACCCGCTGCTGACTCTGTATGCAGCCCCGCTGCTGACTGCAGCCTCCTCGCTGCTTCGTATCGGTCACCGCTGGCCAACGGTGCCGATCCTCGCTCCCCCGTGTTCGTGGCGATCTCGCCACCCTCCGCTTCGCCCTTCGTGGCCTCTCTCTGTTCCTGGTTCCCCGTCACTCCCCGTCCTCTTCCGGTTCCCCTCCTTCTATAGCCTAACCCCTCACCCCCCCACGTGACCTAACTCCTCCCCTCCTGACGTCACCTCCGGAGGGCCGTTTACGCCCGCATTACAGTAGTATATTGACTATAGTAGTGTAGAGAAGTTCCTACTGGACGTACTCGGAGACGGAGGTAAGTTAAGGGCTTTCGCCAGGGTTTATTAAAGCTTATCAATAATACACAAGGGTACACAACTCCCAGGGGCTAGGGGTCCTACTCTGAGTCCACGGTCCCTGCCGGCTAGCTCCGGTCTCTCTCGTGTCGGATCGTGGACTCTGCCGACTCCACCGACCGGAGAGAGAAGCACCTCTACGGCTACCACCGGCTTCTCCCCAGACTCACTATTCGATCCCTTTCTCTACCCCTGGTTCCCTCTTTACCCTTCTTACTCTACCCGTTCCCACAGTGACCCCGCTTACGTCACGGGGTATCCCTTAAGTATCCTAGGAGACGTGATGTCATCGCACTGAACGGCACATCTGACGTCACGTCCCCATTTTACTCCTCTACAGTAGTATCTACTAACTATATAGTAGTATATACTATCTTCACAGTAGTATCTACCTACTCTACAGTAGTGTAATAAAGGACTCCGTCACACGATGTTGATCTCCGTCGGTCCTTTATTTGTGTTCGTCTTCCGCTCACCCCGCTGGCCTCCTCCTCGGCCCAGCGTCGTCTCTCCTTGCGTCCCGCGCAGCTACCCTGCTGCTCCCTATGCAGCCCCACTGCTGCTCTGCTATGCAGCTACTCTGCTGCCTGTGCAACCTCGCACCCTCTGCTAGCCTCCACTAGTTCTGCAGCTACTCGGCTGCTCCGTGCAACCCCTGCACGCCCTGTGCGCCCCGCGCACTCTGCTCTCTCCTCACCCCGCTGGCTGGCGCCGTCCGATGAGCCCCTCAGCCACCAGGCTGAGGCACGGCGGCCCCCAACGTGGTCTCCCTCTTCAATCCCTCGACTGCCCCAGATGTCTTCCGGTCTCCTTCCTATAACCCCTCGCCCACGTGACCCTGACTCCTCCCTCTCCCACGTGACCCTGACTCCTCCCTCGCGGATCGTCACATACGGCCTGGCCAATTACGCTCGCATTATAGTAGTATCTATTCTAACGGTGTGTCCATTTGGGACATGCTTTAGCGGGTTTCAGTTTATACCCGCATCCCTAGCTAGCATCGCTGTTATTTAAATTATGGTGGGACCCCTATTTCATGCGACGCCTCAAATGATCATGTGCGGAATATAACCAAGACCACTCCTGGTATATTCCAAATGTATATGGTTTACTTAGAATTAAATCTCTAGTCAAATCTTACATTGTCAATGGGCAACAGGCTTACTACTTCCCAGGAGGAGTGCACGCATCACAACCCACTATACCAACCCAAATGACCTTCACAACAATACAACAACCAACACCATCATACAACAACCCGACGACCACGGCTTCACCGACTTCCTCCACCACGAACGCTGTGGGGGGGGAAATACAGCTGAGAAAAACCCCGAAGGCACGCCCGAAGCATCGCCCAGCTCTGAAACAGAACACTCTCAGTGGAGCAGTCCCCTTTCCCCTCGAGCATGATCAGTCTCAGCCACCTCAAGCAGGATCAATCCAAGCCACCTCAAGCCGGATCTGTCGCAGCCACCTCGAGCAGGATCAGTCCCGGCCACCGAGCAGAATCAGTCCCGGCCACTTCGAGTGGGATCAGCAGGCCACTTTGAGCAGGATCAGTGGTGGAATAGAATCCCGCCCGCCTCAGTCTCCATCTCCAGCACAGCAGCCACCTGGAACAGACGAGGAGCGGAATAACATCCCCCACCCCCTTCCCTTGGTTCCCCACGACGAGGCCTTTTATTCAATCACACCCTTGGGCCCTTCCCCCATTTAATTAGCACGGCATGCCCACGAGTCCAAACCCCCGTGCCCAAGAGTCAATCCAATCCCACACATCAGAGTAGGGCCCCTGGTTGGAGAGATTCACGCTCGGAATTACGCTGAGATGTAAAAACTGACACCCCGTGGATTTGAGGTGCACAATTTGACTTGTGAGCCTGGGTAGGCCACGTCACCAGAAGATTGCCACGGATCAGGAATAGCATTGGGAGCGACTGCCAAGGAACAGCTTGGGAATTGGACACTTACCCAGAGGCCATCCGCTGGGGAGATGGAGTAATGGTTTGTGTGTGGCATCGCGCGCGGTTCGGGAGGCCTTCACCCCAGCAGTGGATTGATCCTGGTGGATGTTGATAATTAGTTGAGGTTTATAATGTACTTTACCCACAGTTTTTAGATACAGTGGCACCTCGGTTAACGATATTAATTGGTTTCACGGAAACCATCGTTAATTGAAATTGGGAAATACATGTTATAATGCTTAATTTGTTTCAAGACGATCAGAAGTTGACCCTTTCAACCCTAAAAACATAGTTTGTTAAAGGTAAACACATAATTTTAATAAATCAATTTTATGATAACATATTAAAGCATTAATATTCATAAATAGAACATAAAAAGGCGCATAATTAGTGCATAAAATAAAAATTCTTACCTTAGGCTAAGAAGATTAATAGGTTAGCTCGCTTTTCAAATATTGATAGCTTTTCAATATCAAATATTGAAATATCAATTATTGCAAAGCCAGCCAGTTTCTCTCAAAACGCTCATAAAGGGCATTGCTGATTGGCTGAGGTCTGCTGCGTCCACTTAGGAGCGCTCAGATTGGCCGAAATTGGCGCCCGTGTGAAATCGTAAACCTATCGTTAATCGAAAATTCATCGTTAATAGAGACAGTGGGACCCAATGGCAGGCGGATCGTTAATCAAATTTCGTTAATTGATGGCATCGTAAACCGAGGGACCACTGTACACTCCTGAGAATGGCAGTGCCGTGGTAACACTCGTGCCTCACAGCAAGGAGGGCATGGGTTCAGGTCTAGAGTTGGGCACCTATCTGTGTGGAGTCTGTCTGTTCTCCCCCTGTACTACAGAGTGAGCAACTGGAGTCTGTATGTTCTCCTCCTGTTATACAGCGAGAGTGAGTGTAGTTTATATGATCTCCCCCTGTTCTACAGAATGAGCGAGTGGGGTCTGTATAGCCTCCCCCTCTTCTGCAGAGTGAGAGTGAGCAAGTGGAATGTGTATGTTTTGTCCTTGTTCTGAATTGAGAGTGAGTGAAGTCTATGTTCTGTCCCCATTCTGCTGAGTGAGTGAGTTGAGTGTGTATGTTCTTTATCTGTTCTGCAGAGTAACAGTGAGTGGAGTCTGTTCTCCCCCTATTTTGCATGGGTTTCCTGTGGTTTCTCCTCATATCTAAAAAAAAAAACATACAATCTAACTTGTATTGTCCAACACATCCTAATGGTGAAAAATTACACTGCAAATTACTCAGTTGGGTTCACACAGCAGTAGCAGCAGCAACATTGTCCGTCTCCGGGGCTAGGAGATGTTAACTACCTCACCCGCCTGCTGCTGTATATTTGGAGTTTGCCTGTCTCTCTCTCCCCGTGGTCCCAGGTCCTCCGGTTTTCTCCGCCAGAAATCTTTCTGATTGAGAGGGAGTCAAATACTTATTTCCCTCATTAAAATGCAAATCAATTTATAACATTTTTGACATGCGTTTTTCTGGATTTTGTTGTTGCCATTCTGTCTCTTACTGTTCAAATAAACCTACCATGAAAATTATAGACTGATAATTTCTTTTCATAATCAACGATTTTTGGGTTTAGATCGCGTTATTTATAAATGTGTCGTAACCCTCCACCACCCGACACGGCCAATCAGTAAAAAAGTGTCACGTTGACAAAAGACAAATTAGTTCACTGCTTTAGCCCACCGGTGTCAGTGGGCAAACGTACAAAATCAGCAGGGGATCAAATACTTTTTCCCTCACTGTATATGGCTCAGTGGGCTCTTACCTGATAAAGTATTTAAACAAGCGTAATAATATTTATAATTTGTTGAATGCTGTGCGACAGGTACAAAGATGGCCCTGAAGTTTCTGAAGAAGAAATCGACCAAGTTAAAAGCTTTCCTACGGGAATACAGCATCACCAACTACCTCTCGACGAACCCCTTCATCATCAACATCTTTAATGTGACCATGGAGACGGAGGATGCGTACATCTTTGCGCAAGAGTACGCTCCAGCAGGAGACCTCTTCGACATCATCCCGCCACAGGTGAGGGATGTGGCCCAGTATAATGGCCATTAACCCACCGTTAACCCACCATCAAAGTTGGTAACGGATACGAGTTGACACAATTCTTGAATTGAGCGAGGTTATTTATTTATTGTTACACACATTTATAAGAGCTTAGGAAGAGAAATGGTGGGAGAAGGGGATTTCAAAGTGGAGCGGTGTGAGGAAGCAGATAGAGAAGTGATGTGACCTGCAGTGTGGTGGGTGGGTGAAGTGAGGTAGTTGGGTTAGTGAGTAAGTGGGTGAGTTGTGACCTGCAGTGTGATGGTTGAGTGAGTGGATGAGTGTGGTCTTGTGACCTGCAGTGTGGAGGGTGACCACAATGGGGATGAAACAGTCTGAATCCTCAACATGGGTAAAGGAATACATGGATACAGATTTCAGGAAAAAGAACCATGATAGCTGTAGCAGAGTGACGAGGAGGCAACTGATTGCCGGTGACTTGAGTGATTTAGTGACTTGACTATCGATTTATGGAATGTATTTTATCACGATTGAAAATGACAATTATATATCTAATACAATTGTCTGCGTAGATTGTGGGGTTGTTGAAACGACAGATGCTAAACTGGTAACCACTTTCAGAATTGATTACCCGTTCCGAAAGTCAGAAATCGGTGACCGTTTCCCCAATGGAAAGTCCAAAATGACTGTGCCTGCATCTCTCCGATACAAGGGCCTGGCGCAGCCCTGCAATTGCTCGCTCAATGTAACCGCTAGTGGAAGGGACTCCACCAGAGGAAGCGAGTGACCAAACGTTTTAGAAGTACCCACACTACACCTTCTACATGCAACCTACCAATTGATTGTGGTGAACCCACGTAGACCGGTTGGGTGGGAGAGAGGCACAGGAGAGGACGATGGGGACTATTTGTGAAACTTACGCGACACCTCCGGCACGTATTGTGACGGGGTACTGCAAGTTTCAACCATGTCCGTCCAGTGCTCACCGAGCTGGATTGGCTTCTAGTTGCTGAGTGAAACATTATGAGGTCGTGCTCATTACACACAAAGTGCTTGCCAATAATAAACCACAACTACCTTGCTTTTCTCGTCAAGGAGCATAAACCATCACGCAAACTTTGGTCATTCTCACACCAGAGGTCTTTGGCTAATCGTCGAACAAAGATGGTCACCGCATTGTGCGCTTTCAGTTGTGCTTCTGCAGCCATCTGGAACGCTCTTTCTTCTGATATTAGGAAGCCACTGGTGCTATGTGTTGTATATGTCGTGTTATTAAATTTTTTAAAATAAAAATAGAATAAAGGAAAAAATGCGTAAATTTTGGAAATTATGCTAAGTTACTGCAATTATGTACGTAAATTATGCTAATTAGGGATATACTCGTATTAGTTTATGGGAATGTAAGTGATTATGCTAATATGGGCAGTTATGATAATTTGGCTTAGTTTCGTTGCCCAGGATCGTATTTATCAATCTGGATAACGCAAACTAATCTTGCTTAAACATTAATTGATTATATCTTAGTGTGTTTATGTTAGGTCTCCAAATTCATATCTCTACGCAGGATACAGTTCTTATAAATAAGATTGTTATGCATGAACTTAGGAAAGAAACACTCAAACTCTTCTGTGTTAAGCAATTTTAATTCTAAACAAAAACATACACTCTAATATGCAAACTTCATGCTGGGAATTATTAAAACAGTACTCCCTTTGATACTGCTAATCCTGCATAATGCATGGGCATAATGACTTTAAACCCCTCGCCAAACCTCCTACGCATTTCACAAGAAGTACTAATCGCATATCTGCATTTCCCATAAATATGCTAAATTCCTCTTGATATGCAAATTATTTTGTCAAGACGCTCTTCGCCCCTCCATCCCAGCAGCATAAATAGTCGCTCCAAGCCTGGAGCGTGCCATTCAGACTGTCTACTTGACAGACCTGTTCTCCACCTGAAGACGGCTGCTTGCGTTGTGGCCGAAACGTCGTGAGAATTATTTTATTATGTTTTATTTTTATTATTTTATTACTTCCCTTCTACGTGACTTTACCGAAAGAACCAAGAAGAAGACAGTACTCCTTATTGATCCGTGCATTTAACCCTCAGTGATTACGTTGTCAAACTGGGTAATCAGAACAATCGATCAATTCCTCAGAGTAACGCGAGCATATACGGCGATAGAAAAAAGTCCTTAAACATGCATGCAATGATATTCATATGAAAGGCGATAAGAAAATGATTATATCCTGAAGGCAAAGTATATGTCAATTAATTCATTGTCAAGATTATGCAATTAACGAAAACGAATGACTAAAATACTTCTAACAATCATATTCATGTAACTCGATGGGCAGCAACTGCTTTTCACGATCAGTTGATATTTAACGCACCACCTTGGAATGGCAACCCTTTCCGAAACACAAAGATAACTTTTTGGAACAATCTTATTCGTCCCGATATGCGTGTTGTGTGCATATATCTTCTTTGATCAATTCTTCGCGTAAAGTAGACGCCGAGGTTGGGCATTCCTTGTACCAAAATTTAGTTTGTTCCCTGCGGAGCAGTGAGTGTGTGAGAGTGGGCGTGTCATACAAACGGCTTCGGAGAATTTCCCTCTCGCTTGGGCGTGGCTGCAGTGAGCCGCTGGCTTTCTCTCTCCGCAGTTAGATGAGCTGCGTCGGCACGATGTTGTCCTTGAAGAGGCTCGGTCGCTTAACGCTCGGTGGTGCCCGATGCTTGGCGGCGCTCGTTCACTCGTGTGCTGGCAGGCTGGCTCCCGTGCTCTATGGCCGTTTGCAGCTGTTTGTCCACTGCTGGATGACGAGTCGGCATGACGCTCGCCGTCGTGGAACGCGATGATTCCGTCGTCAGATAGCGTGCGCAGCTCATCCGCTGCTGGATGTCTTGGTTCCCAGCTGGTGCTGGTCGATGTGTGGTCGAACACGCGGCACATTCGATGGCGCTCTCCTATTCCTCACAGGCTCTTTCCCCTGTTGGATGATGGGTCGACAGGACGCTCGCCACTTGTCCGCTGATGGCTGACACCCTTCGGTCGGTGGCGCCCGGTGGTGCCCGGTGGCCCCCGGTGGCGCCCGATGCTTTGTGGCGATGAACGAGGCTTTCGTTCGTTGGTGGAAGGCTTGGTCGACGTTTTGCAAGCGTGAGCAAGGCTGAAATCAGACTGAACTGCGTGATGTGCGTTTGTGCTTATGCAAAACGTGAAACCCCCTCACCTCTATGCACGTCTCTTGCGAGAGAGAAACAAACAAAAAAACAGATGCCCTCCGCGGCCTCTCCCCGCGGCCTCTCCCCGCGGCCAGACCCCTTCATACGTATTTATGGCTGACATGCGTTTGTGTCGAATTGTTGGAAGACAAAGGTGGCCGGGGAGGCTTTGGTTCTATGGGATACATATTATGTGGTCCTGTGTGTTAGATTTATTCCTTGTATCTCTTATGAGTTACCCCCGGTCTTAATATATCGTGGTTATTATTCGGTTCATGTTTAACCAATATTCGTAATGCTCCTCGTTACGTCATTATTTTGAGGGTTTTGCCAAGCTTCGTTATGAGTCTGTCTCCAGGGATTGGTGTTTTATTTTGAGTTATATTTCAATGCTGGGGAATAGTTTTAGTTTGGACTTAAGTTTTTCGTAATGGCAGGGGCTCATGTATTTGGTTCATTTGGTGAGGTTAAATAGATAGAAAGATACAATACAAAATAATATATATGTGGTGAATACGAGTAAAATAAGGGAATTAATAATAAAGCCACTATTGTATACTGCAGTCTTATCACGTTGATTTGTTCTTTTTGCCGAGTTTCAAATCTTTGTCGTTAAGGAAGATGCGAGTTGTAAGGTTGTTTGTCTCTGCTCTGAGCGTGTGTGTTTTTCTCTGGCCCTGCATATTTATTGTGAATCGTCCAGAATGTTTTGGGAAGGTCGGGTCATAGGCCCTTTGTCAATCTGGAGATTTCCAGATAGCCTCTAACCTCTCTTTGCCCCGAAGTTTGTTGTTTAATGGCATTTTACGACCTCCAAATGCTGGGTGCTTGTGAGGAGTATTGGGTAAAAAGTTGTTTTCATTATTTATTTACTTATACAAAAATTGGCTGAATTATTCTTGATATGAATTTTGAAAAAGGGCCATAAATACAACGTATGCACTTTTGAATCAGCTAGATTGAAAACGAATATCCCCCCGCACCTCCGATTAGCACCATTGGGATACGTGCGGTGCAAAAGAAGTTTAACATCACACAAAGATTCCCTGTATAGTCTTTAACAGACTGTAATGGAAAATGCCGTTAGCGAGCACCTATGAAGACCGGCATGGCATAAGAGGGGGTTGGGTGGCCAGCACCACGTCCGGCCGCCTTTGTCTCCCCAGTGGCAATGTTTACAGACCAAACCAGGTACTTATTTGAGGCCGAGATCCAGTTCAGATAATCGTCACATTCCCCATGAGCGGGAATGGAAGTTTGGGCCGCTGGGTTTGTAGCACAGCACACTAATCGCTACACTACCGCTCTCCCCACATGTTGTGTTTAGTTTGTCGTCCTTCCCCCCATACCTCTTATTAGCACGTTTGGGCTCATCAACACACGTACACACACGTACACACGCACTACAAACTATTTCCCCCGCTGCGTTAGCTGCCTGCCGTCCACCTGCTGAGCGACCCGCTCCTTGCCGTCCCCCCGCAGGTGGGGCTGCCCGAAGGCACCGTGAAGCGCTGCATCCAGCAAGTTGGCCTGGCGCTCGACTTCCTGCACGGCAGGGGGCTGGTGCACCGCGACGTCAAACCCGAGAACGTCCTCCTCTTCGACAGGGAGTGCCGGCGCGTCAAGCTCTCAGACTTCGGCATGACGCGGCGGGCGGGCGCCCGGGTGAAGCGCGTGAGCGGCACCATTCCCTACACGGCGCCCGAGCTGTGTGACGGGGCGCGCTCCGACGGCTTCTGTGTGCGGCCCAGCATCGACGTGTGGGCCTTTGCCGTGCTGCTCTTTTGCATGCTCACCGGCAACTTTCCCTGGGAGACGGCGACGCCCGGCGACCCCTTCTACGGCGAGTTCCTCTCCTGGCAGCGCCGCAAGGCTGCTGCCACGGCCGCCGCCGGCACCGGCGCGGCCTCCTCCGGCGCCGTCCCCTCGCAGTGGCGCCGCTTCTCGCCCGATGCGCTGCGCCTCTTCCGCAGGCTGCTGGCCACGGACCCCTGTCGGCGCTGCGCCGTCGCCGAGCTCTTTCGCTACGTCCAGCGAGACTGGATGCTGGCGGGGGCTGGCAACGGCAACGGGGAGGGGGGGAGGCGATCAGACGGGTGGCCTCGCGACGGCGGTGGCATCACGGGGGAAGAGGAGGAGGAGGAAGCAGATCGCCTGGCCTCACTCGTGCAGCAGCACCGCATCTCATCACTGGACAGCCCCACGGGCAGCCACCGCCGCCTGCTCCTCCTCGGCCACTTCTCGTCCACCGACAGCCCGGGCTCCGTGTCGGCATTGGCTGCTGCAGCAGCTCACCGGCTCAGCCACTTCTCGTCACTTGACAGCCCCACCACCGCCACCACGGCCCATACCGGCGGTGGTGGTGGCGGCGGCGCACGTGGCCGCCACTTCTCCCCGGGCGACGGCCCCCTCCCGTCGGCAGCAACGAGTGCCGACCGTCTGCGCCACTTCTCATCGCTTGACAGCCCCCCTCTGTCCGCCAGTGCCGCCGCCACCGCCGCCACCGTGCGCGCCCTGCGCCAGTCGCACTCACAGTCGCCCCCTGCAGGGAAAAGCGGAGGGGGAGGCGGAGGCGGAGGCGGAGGAGGAGGGGGAGGAGCACGGGCGGCCAATCGCAGCCACAGCTCGGGTCGCTCGCACATCACAGCAATCGAGATCTGTGTGTGAGTGCCGTTGGCGACGAAGTGACCCCCCTCCGCCCGCCCATCTGTCCCCGCGAAAACGGAATTTGCGCGTTCAGATCTGGTGAAGCCGCATTGTGTTCTTTTACAGTATCACGATTGTGAGGGGTTTTTTTGACGGACATGAGATATGCGAGGGTTTGGCCTGGAAAAGGTGGCTTAAACCTGACCCGCTCGCCCGATTTACCCCGCTCATTCAGCAGTTTCACCGCACTCAACAACGACCATTCACCATACCCGTTCGCCACTAAGCGGCGGTGATGTCCCCACAGCATTAAGGGTGCACCTTGTGTGTGGTTTTACTGACCGAAGTGACTTGCAGCTTGCACCAGCTGTGTTCCCCACTTGTGCCCGCTTTGTTGTGTTTTAGCCGCCCGGCGCTCCGCTCGTTGTTGTGAGCGTTGCTCCTCTGCCCTCCATTGCCATTGGAGGGCGACCACCTCTAACTGCCCAGTCGCGTCCTTCATGGGCCTCCTCCTCCACGGGCCTCCTCCTCCACAGAGGCCGATCTTAACACCACCAGGACCTGTCATCGGGTAGTCCAATCAGCTCCACATCCTCCTGTACCGCATCAGTCCATCTCATCTCTAGCCTGTGCTATGACCCATCTAGCACCCTCTATCTGGCCAAAAAGAAGCTGTTTGGTCATGCGGTGACTGAAACCACATTGGGGCTCTGCAAGTCTTTCCTCAACATGCCTTGGCAAGGTGATGTCGAATAATCGTTGCCAGGACCTTTCCTGGGATACTGAGGAGGAAGATGCCCCTGATAGTTGCTACAATTAGTGCAGTTCACCTTATAAAGGGGATCCTTCCAATCCTGCAGAAACCATCATATGGTCCAGACGGTTATAATGATGTAACAGAGGTCAGCTTCCACAAAAAACAAAAACTAATTTATATATTTTTTTTATTTTACGAGGTAAGGCCCACTGAGCGATCGATATAGCTCTTTTTCAGAAGCGACCTGACCACAAATCATAGATCAACGAAGTGGCTTGCAACGTGGAACTTTTCTCGCAGCCAAATACTTGTGATGTTGATTCTAAATGTGGAGAAAAAACCGGAGGACCAAGAGAAAAATCCAAGCGACCACGGAGAGAGATATACACAAATTCCAAATTTACAGCAGGCGTCAGGGTTGGGATTGAACCCATGACCTCCTGTATACCAGGTGAGTGAGTTAATATCTCGCCACAATCGCCCACCTCAGCAGCTCGCCTCAGAGGTCATCGTTGCCTGCCACTTTACCTGGTCTTGCACACCCTCAGATGGGACTTCAGCCAGCCAGCTAACCAGCCACTCACAGGGAGCGGTTCCCTTGTGCAATATTCGAGGCACAGCTCCCCCAGCCAAGTGAACCCCCCCTTGCCTCCTGTTGTCATCTGAGCTGAGGGGTTTCCCCTCCAAACCAACAACTCACGGAAATGCTCCGCAAAACTCTACAGTCCTATTCCTCTGGGTGGTTGGAGATCGAATCAGCCTAACCCACTCACCCAGTCATCCACTCAACTACGGGTTGCCACCTAGTCCAGGAATTACTAACTATATATACTATATTTTTATTTTACCAGGTAAAGCCCACTGAACTATATAGGTATTTTTCAGAAGCGACCTGGCCACAAATGATAGCTCAACGAAGTGGCTTATTAAGTGGAAATTTATAGCAGTAGCCAAATACTCTAAACGCACGTTTCTAAATGTGGAGGAAAAAACCCGAGGACCCAGAGAAAAATCCATGCAGCCACGGGGATAGAGATGCAAACTCCAAATATATAGGTGTCAGGGTCGGGATCAAACCCACGAACCTCCTGTATACCAGGCGAGGTAGTTAACATCTCGCCACCGTGGCGCCCAATTGAGTTGTACCAACGTCTGGTGATGAAACTTATTTCGGGATACTGCCCGGTTATGATAACCGATCGAAGCCAGTAGCAGTTGGTTTTCAGTGTGGTTCCCCGGGACCACGCAGTGGAGTCCGCGACACTCCTCCACGTGCTCCTCAGGGCTGTGATGCAAACACAGGTTGAGCCGGACAATAATGACAACTTTTATTGACACCTTTTGTTGCGGACATTAAATAATATTTTCACTTATATTTAATTTAAGAAACGAAGTTTGGTGAACTACCCTGATTAAGCTACCCTAGCCCTAATATCTATATGCTGCCCCACCTCTAAAAAAAGCGTTTAAAAAAATGATGTTCCGGTAATTTGAATAGTTTTGTATTACTGGCATTTAGAGAGAGAAGTGAAATGCATATAAGTGGTTAATGGCTGTCAGTAGTGTATGTCGGTGGGCTGTGGAAGTGTTTGCAATCGGCTTAGCGGTCCACGAGGCCAAACAAGTATGAGAAACCCCGCTCGAAGCTGACTGGAAAATGCGTCCTGCTTGGCCTGGGAAGTTTTGGGAGATCCCGGCTCTGGAGAAGAGAGATCTCTGTCTATGCGCCGCCGTCACTTAACGGTGGAATTTTTTTTCATTCTGCACATACCAATTGATGCAAACCTTGCAATATGTCATTTGCTCTGTAGCTCAGTAAATTATTAATAGGTAAGCGTGTGTGTGGGAAGGGGGGAATTACAGCTTTAGCTGAATGTTGTGCTTGAAGTACTGTGAAAGATCTGTTTCAATAAAAGAGCTTTTCACTGTTAGTACAGTATTTAGCATGTATAGTATATATATAGTGTTGTCAATTATACGGTACATATCAGAGATATACATACATATACGGATCGTCAAAAACACCTTGAAAATGGAATTATAAATCTTCTTGCCAAATGTACCCACATGAAAGAGAGAGATGCTCCTTCCCTATAAACATCTGGGCAATTCACCAGCATTGGTTCAAGCAAATCGCCTGGCTCTGCTGATGCGGTACGACTTTGAAACATATCTCGCGTTTGCTTGCGTTGAAACGAATTCTGCCGAAATTATGGACTCATATAAGTGGTTAATGGATGTGTAAAATAAATGGATGTGTTATTTACGTGAAGGGACATCGTATGGGTTACTAAACTGAAAAATAACAAATATCTGAACCTCAATGCGTTTAATACTCATTACATCCCATTTTCAAATGTGGTTGACACATTTGTGTGTATAGTGTACATGTATATAATGTAAACATAGATAGATGTATGTGTGCAATATGTATTCAGAACACCACAAACCCGACACCTTTCAATTCCTTTGCAGTTTGCTATATTATTTCCAGAGGGTAGATGGCCACGTGCGAGAGTGCGAGTGAGTGTAAAGTTGAGACGGTGTGAGAGTGTGAGTGTAAGGGAGTGTTAGTGTCGTGGCTTGTGCGCTGCGCTACGAACCCGCCCACCCGAGTTCGATTCCCGCTCACGGCCAACACCAGTGACGATTATTTTAATCGGTCATGGGCCTCCTCCCCTAGTTCGACTCGGTCCACATTGTTGTGCTCGTGCGGGAGTGGGTGGTGTATTTATTAGAGCGCTGTGCTACGAAAGCAACGAGCCAAGTTCGATTTACACTCGGCCAACGATGACAAATAATTTGAACCGGTCATGGGCCACCGCTAGGTTGACTTATCCTTAAATGATTACCCGGTACGATGAGTAAACGTCACCATTTGGGGGACAAAGGCGGCCGGGCGTGGTTATCGCCACCCATCCCCGCGTATGCCGTGCAGTCCTCCATAGGCACTCGCTAACAGCACTTCCTCCAACAGTCTGTTAAAGGCTGTATGGGAGACCTCTGTCTTTGTGCGTGTGTAAGTGAACATGCTGCTGCAAAAGGATAGATTACATACTGGCATGGTGGCACCTTTACATTTGGACCACCGCACCACGCATTCATACCCATTACACACTCGCATATGTATGTATATAGTATTTTATATTCAGGGCTATTATTGGATCTGTGAGATTCCACAAACACTAAAGTGTTTCTTAGTGCAATGTTTTGTCAGGTTTTAGAATAATTGTACAGCAACGTAAGATGTGTTCGGGTCGTGTGCTGTGTTAACCATGGTATAGGGCTAATCGTTCTACAGCACAGCAAGTAGGTTGTGTAAATACCATGCGTGCAATAGACCAGGTGTGACGTGTTAAGCACATAAACATTTGGATATTTTTTTGTACTTGGCTATTACCAAGGGTGCAATCTTGCGGTCCATTGTAGTAGGGTTGTTTTTTTTATCGTCTTTTCTAGTTAACCAGTAACCATTTCCATTTGCAATACGGCTTGCCACGCATACAGCAACACAGTTGCCCGGACACAACCGCATAATGCGCTCACCTGTTTTAAACCGAGCAACACAGGGAGGCAGCCACATGAGTCCCGAGGTCACCAGTTCCCTTCCATCTCCCGGCGCGGCAAACAGACGATTGGGGGGGGGGTGACTTTCTCAAATCCACCCCCTACTCCCCCCCCCCCCCCGTTCTCCCCCATTGCCACAAGGGGTGGTCAGTAAGCTGCGGATCTTCAAGCAACCCCTTCGTGACGTTATTTATTCAGGACCACCGTCTCGTATTCCACGTTGCATTGCGGTTCCTCTTGAAATATTTCCTCTCAACCCAGCCAGTGCACACGGGAAGCGAGCTGTCACGGCTCGCCGATCGGCAGCTTTGTCTGCAGTGGGGTAAAGGAAGGATAAGGCCACCCCTTCCGCGACATCTAGTCGGCTTGTTGGGTTGTATATTCCCAATTTCCATTCAGTTGCATTTGTTTCTGAAGCTCCAACTTGTAAAAAGCGGTTACCATTTCGTGACTTTTTGAACTGGTGCCGATCTATGCACGTAGCCTGAATCCAGCACTGTGGAGAGCGGGGGGGGGGGATCGCACTCCTCTTGTGAAACTCCCTTCCCGTGAGGCGTGGAGGAGGGACCGTGCCCCTGGCGAGCCAGCAGAAAGCGGAAGAGCAAGTGAGCTAATCGCCATCTGTTCATTTGTACGGGGATAGAGCGACGCCCCCCCTCTCGAATGCATAGATTTCGACCCACACATATAAAAACTGGAAAAATAAATATATTATTATCATTGTTATTTTTGAAACAACCCTACTATTGTGAGTGCTGGCCAGAACCGTCACGACGTGGACCGCTGTTCTAAGTGTTCCGGCCCTGGGTGGTTCGAGCATCCGTCTTCTATGCGCGGGCTTTGTTGCTGAAGTTGTTTCGTTTTGATGTCTCCCTTTCTCTCGGTGGCATCTGCTGTGCCCAGAGGATTGGTGTTGGGTTTCCGTGCCCAAGGGTAGGGTCTCTGTGTTCGTGCCATGCAGCAGTGCCGTGAATCTCTTGTCCATGTCTTGCTAGCTGTCGTGTTGTTGTTGTCGTCGATTAAAAAAATCAGTTGCTGAGCCACGGGGCCCGTGAAGTCCTAAAACGGCAGGCGGCCGGCAACAAACGGCACTATTAAAAGTTGTAATAGATAATAAGGTGTAACTCGTTTCTTGAATTGAGAAAGATATTGTTGTTGTTATAAGAACTTGGGAGAGAAAGAAAAAAGACGATGGAAATCCCTGAGTGGATCGGTGACGAGTGCATGGGAAGAAGTAGGAAGAGGAGTGGTGTGTGACCTGCAGTGTGGTGAGTGGGAAGTTGATTGGGTCACTGTGACTGTAGCGGTTAGCGCGCCGCACTACAAAACTCGGCAATCCCCGAGTTCGATTCAGCTCATGGCTTAAACCGGTGACGATTATCTGAACCGGTCCTGGGCCTCTGCTAGGTCGACTTGGCCTCAAATAAGTACCTGGTTCGATGTGTAAACATCGCCCCCTTGGGGAGATAAAGATGGCCGGGTGTGGCTCTCGCTAACGGCACTTGTTCCAATCTTTTAAGGCTATATCGAGTTATTTGCTTCCTACAGTGTGGTGATTGAACAGACTGGTGGATATGACGAAACGGACTGTGGTCTGGTTGATCCGAGTCCTTCAAACACGGGTGGAGGAACCAATGAGCCAGGTTCATGGCAATAGAAACCACGTTAGCAGGCGACGGACCCACCGGTTAATGAGTACATGGAGTGAATGAATTCTAGGTCATCAATTCTCCCATGTTTATTAACACATTAATTTACCGATAACACCTTAACACACGAAGGACCACAGAGCTGGGACAATTGTTAGTGGCGCCGGCTCCTCGCCAACGCGTGGCTGTTGCCGCTGACTTCCCCGCTCCTCGTTCTCGTCTGTGGGGTTTCTTCCTCCTGGCACTTCTAAATCGACCGAGCGGATATTGGGTGGCAGTAGCAGCGCAGTGGTAAAATCTGACATTGTTATATTTTTTGTATATCTTAAAAAAAAAGGATTGGCACGGGAAGGGAAAACTGAACTTCTTTAATGCGCATCTGCTAGTTTGCGTGCGTGTGTGAATGAGGCTGGCCTGAGCCTAATGTTAGTCGACCGATAACAGTTGTAGGTGTCAAACCCGGCCACTGCTGGTCCATGGCGTTGTTCGTGCGTGCGTGAATATCCTCCTCGTCTTCCTCAGAGTGTAGTCTCGTGTGACGCCATCATCAGCGCCGCTGTCTCGATGCCTCGTGCAGCACTCTGCGCAGTTTCACGCACAAGCTGCCTGTAAAGCGTCGTGGCTTGTGTTTTGGGGGGTCTGTTGAGTCAATACCGGTGAGCAATAACGTCACTTGAGCTGGAAAAGTGTTTTCCATTTGTTTATCAAATTCACTCCCCTCGCCCGAGGGAGAATGCAATGGAACGGGTAAAAATGCCACCTGCAGGAAGCATTCACATTTCCACAAATTACAAGCAGCTGAAAATCAAATGTGTTTTCTTATATTCACTATAGTGATGCTAATGATTATTTTGTGTTGAACTAGGACCCATATCTAACAAGAGTGTGTCCTTTGCTATAAACAAAGAATCTGTCAGTTCACCATTATTGGTTCAAGCGAGCCTGACTGCTAATGAGACACGACTAAATGTCAGAACTGGTGCAACGTTTTGCATGAATTGAACCAACCCTGCTGAAATGATGCCCTCCCAGAAGGCCCGTGTGGCTGTTGGGATACGTCCAAAAATATACTTGATTTGTTTACGTGAATTGACAGGCGTGTTGAAGGAGGCACGTACCCTCTGCGTGTGAATGTCCATCTCGTTTATGACGGACAAACGCTGCGCCAACGTGGGAAATTGTGCCCCGAGTCTGAGATGCGTTCTTCAAACCAAGGCGTCAGCTCACACTGGGGAGGATCATGGTATCTTTCATTTATTTGGCTGGGGAATCGGTTGTGGTTTTAGGAAAAACGTGAATCGATTTTATTTATATACCAATATAAACGTGCTCTTTGCAAATGAAAAAAACCCAACACTCCCGTCACAACACAATTTTTGAAGATCACATAATTTCACTGAACCTGTGTGGAAACTGAAAGAATATATATCGAAGCAATATTGTGACATCTTGGGAGAGTCCTGTGCTTATGTGAAAACAAAAATTCAAGTTGTGGCATAAGTGATAAATAAAAACACTTCGTCAGCTCAAAGAGTGTGCGTGCCGTGTGTTCATGTACATGGTGGAGCCAGCGACGCAGCTACCTATATCAACGGGGGGCCGGGGGGCTATGCAAGATCCGACTGTGGGCCCCCTCCTTCCTCCCGACTTTTACTGAAATAGCTACGGATGTTTTTAACCCGTATACAATAATATGTAGGCTATGACTATATATATTATTTTATTTCCACCGTGTATTGGGTTTAGAGGAAGACAGTCTCACAGTGATAGTGTTGTGGTGCAAAGACGACTCGGAGGCAGATCTTAGGGGCTTACGCCAGGGGTTTATTAGGGGCTTACGCCAAGGATTTATTAGGGGCTTACGCCAATTACGAGCTAAAGGATAATATACTTCTCCCCAGGGGTAGGGTTCTGGGCTCCCTAGCACAACTAGCTTCCCGAGCTCTTCCCACTGCGCCGACCGAGGGATCATCCAACATCAGCCGGCCGGTTAAAGCAGCCACTCCTCATGCTAGCGCTCGTTCCCTTCTAGACTCCGTCTGCCCCACCCCTGGGTCTAACTTCCACCCTTCACGTTCCCGGGCTCCTGCGACGACCCCGCTCACGTCACGGGCTCCCGCTTAAGTACCACAGGGAGACATAACGTCGTCGCCCCACCCCTGTGCATGACGTCACTTCCCGTGACGTCATTACACCGGAAGTTCCGCATGACGTCACATCCTGTGACATCGCACCGGAAGGTGAGCGTGACGTAATGTCCCCAACTACTCCTCTACATTCCCCCCCCTCCCCCGTGAAAAAAAATCAGCCGACCCGGCTGTAACAATTACGAAAGCGAAGCCCAATAACCCGGATAGAAAGATAACGGTACAAGGCAAAGTTTGGAGACCACCATCACACGGAACAACGTATAAGTGGTGATGAAGGCTGGAGGCCGATGAAAACGGCCCCTTGGAAGGCCTTCATCACATGGAACAGCGTAAAGTGGGCGATGAAGACAGGAGGCTGAGGAAAACGGCCCCACTGGCCATCACCGGATTCGCACACCCCTCGAGCGTGTGTGTGCCACCGGCCCGCTTCCCCAGGCGTCGGTCACCTGCCTTTACTGGCAGGCAACAGGTCTGTCGCCGGTACATCCGCCGGACGAGGCGTCGCTGAAGGTGTTACTGGCGGGTGCTCTGAAGGCGTACACACAGGCAGGGCGTCGCTCACACCATCACGATCTGTGCGGCCCGGCTTGTGGGATGTATCAATCGCCGGCTGCCCCAGAAGTGGGGATGAATCAGTGAGGCCAGGCGGTACAACCCGCTTGAGGCGAGACGGGTGCACTATCCAGTGGCGGTGACCCAACCGAATATGGATACATTGCCATCGGCAAACCTCTACGACCTCGACAGGGCCCTGCCAAGGGCGATGCAATTTAGGGGACGTGCTGTCGGACTGGGGGTGGTAGGGTGAGGTGTGGATATTCTTTGTGCCAAGGAGGTCGCAGACCAAACGTACGGCCGAAAAAAATAACATCGTCCAAGTAGATTAAACAAGATTACCACTGCAGCCCCGCCAATAGCAACTCCATGAGATGCTGGAAGGTGGCCGGAGCTGAATGGAGACCCATAGGAAGCCGATTTAATTGGAACAGCCCCTGGGGTGTGCGGAACGCTGTCTTGGGTCTCGAGGCCTCGTCCAGTGGCAATTGCCAGAAGCCTGAGAGCAAGTCTAGGGTCGAAAAGAACCGCGCACCCGAGAGAGCATCCAGGGAATCATTCATGTGAGGCAATGGATATGCATCAGCCACCGAGATCTTGTTTAATTTATGGAAGTCGACGCAGAAACGGAGACTCCCGTCTCGTTTCTTGACTAGCACAATGGGGGCACCCCAAGGGCTAGTGGATGGGGAGATAATGTCCACTGCCAACATCTCGTCAACTACGGAGCGGACATGATCCTTTTCCGCTGGGCTAAAGCGGTGCAAATTTAGCCTAATAGGGGCCGAGTTGCCCATATCTATGTGATGTTCCAGAAGAGTGGTGCGACCGAGATCGAATTTACTCTGATTAAACACATCGGTGAACCTCACGATGAGTTTGCGGAGCCGCTGATGCTCCTCGGAGGATAACGAGGCATTCTTGTTACACAACTCAGCGATCCACGATGTGTCGGTCCTCTCCTTGTGCAGCACACCTGCCACAACTCCTCCAATCAGCCTAGCGTCATTGGGAGGAGGGCCTGGGGTGGCGTGTGCTAAAACGGCACCGGCCGGAACGACGATCGGCGAGGGCCCCGAATTTAGAGCCTGTAAAAAGGGGTCCTGGCCCTCCGACACGGCCGTCAATGCGCCTACCAACCTGTCCGTCCTTGAAAAGTAATTGGAGGGACACAAGAGGATACCTGCCTCAGGGGAATCTAATTTCAATGGTCTGCGCAGCCTGAGGGGTAGTAGGACTTGTGACCCCGGTGGAACAGTCACAGACACCTTAGTCAAGGCCCGCACACTGGCGGCAAGGGGGGACAGCACAGTGGGAGATTGCAGAAAGTGCAACAGACCCCCCCCCCAACGGCATCTCTACACACCCTTGGTCCAAAAGGATTCGAACGGGCATTTTGGCCAACGCTGCGTGGCATCAACAGAAAAATGCATTCTGAAATAAAAGTTGCGGACGCACCCGTGTCCACCAAGATTCGCACATCGACCCCTTGTACGTACCCCGCCAAGGACCCGGCAGCGGCCGCCACAACGCTATGCGCGAGCGCATCCCACTGGCGGGTCCACGTGGGCCACACGGCCGATGGCCATGGATGTACAGGGGCTGAGCCTGACCCCCCCAGAGATGATAGCTGTGAGGATGGACCCTAACCCCCCGCTAGATGTGTGAGGTGAGGGGAGCGGCTGTGTGATTGATGCGTCGCGACTCGCCCTGGGGCCCCGAAGCTGCTCCTGACGAGGAGCCGGTGGAAGGAGGAGAGGCCTTGGCGAAGGCCCCGGGAGCGTTGCGGCAGCCCCACTCGATGTGGCCCCGCTGACCACAGCGGAAGCAGGAGACCGGCTCAGAGCCTGCGGGCGAGGAGGTTCTGCCCGCCACCGCTGCTCCGGCCGGCGCCCTCCGGCACTCCTCCCACGGCGGTCGGGCACCGCCAGGGCCGCGAGGGTGTCCTCCTCCTGAGAGGCGGCCGCCTCCGCAGGCACTGGGACCCCCGTGCATGCCGCCACCCCGGGCGGCTGTCGCAGCGCGAGGTGTGCCTGAATGTTCTGGACCACTTTTATGATGTTATCTGACCCTCCTCGGCTTTAGATAATGCGATACCGAGCTCCCGCGCAATTGAGAGCAGTCGTTCGAGGGCCAGCAAGTCCAATGCCTTGCCCGCAAGGATATGTGGCCTGAGCCAGCGCCAGGAGGGAGCAGCGGTAGGCAAGTGGCGACTCCCGCCACCGTATGGAAAACTTCAAGCATGCGCTAGGACGGTGGCTCAAACACGGCGGTCATCTGTTGGTACACCGCTGGGAGCGATGCTCTGTCAGCCGGCGGGATAGCCTTGAACGCCTGTAGCGCCCTCTCGTCCAGGCATGTCGGAAGGGCCCGCAGCGCCTCTTCCATCGGCCAACTCACCGACTCGTACGCCGCATCGAAGCGGTCTTGAAAGGCCAGCCAGTCGCCCCCCTTCGCGATGAACGGCGCGACCGGAGGTAACCGGGTCAGCCGCCGGTCACCCGACAATACGTATGGCGAGGACGCACCTGCGGCCCCCCCGATGGCATCTCCAAGGCCGCAGCAGCGATGCCGGGTTGCCGAGCCGCCTCAGCCCCGGCCCCCAGCTGGCAAGCCGCGGTGGGGTGCGGAGCCGTGGCGGCAACCGCAGCGGAACCCAGAGTCGCGGCGGGGAGTGGAGCCATAGCGGCACCGGCGGCGGTGTGCGGAGCGTCGGCGACCATGGCGACGGCCATGACGGCGGCAATGACAGCGGTTTGCGGCGTCACGTCCAAAATGGCACCCGGTCGCGGCTTCATACCTAAAATGACGCCCGATGGCGGCGGCGCATTAAAAATGGCGTTCAACTCCTGCGGCGCGTCCGTTGGGGAGTTGGCGCCAAATTCAAAAGAGGCGGGAGCCGAAATGGCAGGAATCCACCGCTCCCGCTCCAAAAATGTGTCGGGAACGCGCACACGCTCTCCCACCTCGGCCACCGTGACGGCGAGCTGTGCCATCGTCCGTAGGAGCAGCTCCAGCTGCCCTGAGAGGGCCCGCCACGTGTCCGGCGGCGGCGCATCAGCTCCCCTAGCCGCTGTCTCCTCCTGCTCCGGCCGGCCTGGCTCCACGGGGCGCATCTCCGGGGCCCTGGTCTCCGGGATCACCGCAGGACCCTCCTCCGCGCTGTCTTCGTCGTCGGAATGCACCGCAGGCGGGATTCTTCTTCTCGCGCCAGACTTGGACATGGCGGCAAGCACTGAAGTCACTTCCAACACTAGTTGTTGTGGTGCAAAGTCGACTCGGAGGCAGATCTTTTTTAGGGGCTTATGCCAGGGGTTTATTATGGGCTTACGCCAAGGGTTTATTAGGGGCTTACGCCAATTACGGGCTAAAGGATAATATACTTCTCTCCAGGGGTAGGGGTCCTAGGCTCCCTCGCACAACTAGCTTCCCGGGCTCTTCCCACTGCGCCGGCCGAGGGATCATCCAACATTGGCCGACGGGGTAAAGCAGGCACTCCAAATGCTAGCACTAGTTCCCTTCTAGACTCCGTCCGCCCTACCCCTGGGTCTAACTTCCACCCTTCACGTTCCCGGGCTCCTGTGACGACCCCGCTCGCATCACGGGCTATTGCTTAAGTACCACAGGGAGACATGACATCATCGCCCCGCCCCCTGTGCATGACGTCACTTCCTGTGAACTACCAAATTATCAGTTTCCTGTCTGCCAACAATCTATTACATCTAAAACAATCTGGGTTCCGAAAATAATACAGCAACACATGTGCTGCATTAGACTCTCTGAATCACATTTACAGGAGCCTTGATAATAAGCAGTACTGCGCCTGTCTTTTTCTTGACTTGTCCAACGCTTTTGATACGGTAGTTTTTCCGAAAACACAGTAAAATGGTAAAAAATTACTTCTTTTCTGGCACTCAAACTGTATTTACAGATGGTTGGAGGTCAAACAGTGTTAAGATAACAAAAGGGGTTCCACAGGGTACCATCTTCGGCCCCCTATTGTTTTCTCTTTATGTCAATGACTTGGGCACTGACCTGGATCATTCCAGGGTAAATCTTTTTGCAGATGACACGATACTGATTACTGCTGGCCTCTCTCCGAATGACGTGATTGATAAGCTCCAAGGTGATTTCAACAAACTACAACATCAGCTAGTTGCTCTTAAACTAGTCCTGAATACCTCCAAAACCAAGGTGCTATGCTTCTCACCAGGACTAAAGCAGGAATTCTAGATTTGAAGCTTTCGTGACTGCAAGGATTCATATTCTTAGGTTCTTTCGGTAAAGTCACGTAGGTGAAAGAAAAAAAATCATGACGTTTCGGAGGCAACACAAGCTTCCGTAATCAGGTGGGACAACCTCTGAAACGTCGTGATTTAATTTAGTTATTTTTATTTTTTATTTTTGTTTTCACCTACGTGACTTTACCGAAAGAACCAAAGAGTATGGATCCTTGCAGTCACGAAAACTTCAAATCTAAGCTTGACTCAATTTATCACTCGGCCTTAAGATTTGCATTGAACTGCCCATACAGGACTCACCATTGTGATCTCTACATTGGGTCAAACTTAACATCACCAGATCTTATTTATTCACGATGTACTTACAAAAAAATCCGCAGATTACCTGCTGGATCTCCTCTCTGTTTCAAAGAACAAATTTGACCTAAGGTCTTCGCTCATTTACCAGCTTCACATTCCCTATTGCCGTACAAATACTGGCGGAAGGGCCTTGTTATTGATGCCCCCAGGGTCTGGAATGCTATTGCCAATAAACTGCAATTTGAATCACTACCTATGAGATCTTCACTCAAAACTGCTCAAGAGGAGTTGTACACCCCAAGCTGCCACTGCTATTCAGTGGCCTAAAATAAAATAAAATGTTTCGCTCCAGATGACCACTGCAAAGTATGATCTGTGTTTTGATTTAGTGCGCTGATCTTAAAGGTGCATTGAAATTTTTTGATACTCCGAGTGATGCTCCTGCTGTTGTGGAGTGACTCATGCAGCCAGCTATGGCTGCAGGGTTTGGTGGTACATGTCTTTTTATGTCATTTATTGTGAAAATTCGGTCACAGTTCCTATGATCACTGTTACATTGCTTTTATGGCTTTATTATGGTGATTTCGAAAAGTTTTTTGGTTTGGCCATGTTTGTTTGTTGTAGTACGGAGTTCGACTCATGGCCTTAATCTAAGTTGTCTTGTGGTTGTTGTTGTTGTTGTTTGACTTGCACACAGCGTTGGTGTAGGGTGCTTTTTCTGCAATATTTGTTGTCTTTTCTTGGATTTTCTGTTTGCACATAGTCACTTTAAGATGTTTTCGTGTTCATGTTTGTTGCGGTTGCACCCGATTCAAGAGCCTAATGGCTCACAGGGCTATACCAAATAAATGAAACTGAAATTGTGTTTGTAGAATGTACCATTCCAGATTAAGTAAGTGTTGGTAAGGCAGTGCCTTACCAAAGTTGGTACATCTGGATTCAGTCCCTGTTGGACCAAGTCTTCAATGATTACAATGGTATCAAGTACAGGTACCTTGGTGAACAGGGAGACTACATCGAAACTGACAAGTAAATCATCTGGAGACAGTGATATGTCCTTGATTAGAGAAATCGAGTGAGCTGACTTAAGTACAACTAAGGTGGTCTTGTCCGTGAAAGGAAGCAGTGTCTCAGGCAGAAATCGGGCCAGTTTGTAGGTGGGTGAATTAATGGTGGAGACGATAGGATGGAGCGGGGGGGGGGGGTACCTTCCAGAGGTGTGGACTCGAGTCATGTGACTTGGACTCGAGTCAGACTCGAGTCATGAATTTGATGACTTCAGACTCGACTTGGACTTGCATAACAATGACTTTGTCCCACCTCTGAGGTGTGGACTCGAGTCATGTGACTTGGACTCGAGTCAGACTCGAGTCATGAATTTGATGACTTCAGACTCGACTTGGACTTGCATAACAATGACTTTGTCCCACCTCTGAGGTGTGGACTCGAGTCATGTGACTTGGACTCGAGTCAGACTCGAGTCATGAATTTGATGACTTCAGACTCGACTTGGACTTGCATAACAATGACTTTGTCCCACCTCTGGTACCTTCTTTGTGGATCTTTGGAAGGCCATCCACTTTACTCCAGTGACCCGGATGCTGCCACGGGGTCCGCTTTCTGTCCCCCCTCCTCTCCCCCCCTCCTCTCTCTCCCCCCACTGCCGATGCCTATATAACCTCGTGGCTCGTGCCACGGCAGATCTCTCGCCTCCTTCAGCAGTTTTTTTCTTGCTGCGGTTGTCCCACCTGATGACGGTTGCTTGTGTTACGATCGAAATGTCGTGATCTATTATTTTTTAACTCACAATTAAGTTATCGTGCGTCTTGATTTCATGCGCATGCCAGTAAGCAAACAATCCTGGTGTTCAGTAACAAATCGCAGTGGCGCTACTAGATTTCACGCGAGGTATTTTTTTCGAAATATATATTTTTTATTCGTAACAATGTTTTTTGGCATTTTTGCTTAATTGTTGGAATATTTTTTTAAAGAATTTTCTTAACATTTTTTAAACATGTTTTAATCTGTTGAATCGGGGCCCCCCTGTTGCCGACTTTGCCCCTATGTGTCGCATAACGCTGCCACGTACCCCCAACCATGCAGCGCCCCTGGGTGCACAACGCGCGAGTCTACGCTCGGTAGCTTATCGTCTTAATTGGCAGTAAACACGCGCGCATGAAAAACGACAGTGCAATAAATGTAAGTGTGGTGGGGGGGGATATAGACGGCACAATTCGGTTGCCCGACAACACAAGCTGCGACAACAACAAAAATCCGCAACCCCATGAGCCAATTCTTCGATTTACGCCTCAATTTTCGCAATTACGTCGCGTTTTACAAACGCTTTTTTCGCGTGGTCTTGTCTCCTTGAGGCCACCGTAATTATTACCCGGAAGTGACGTGCCCGTCAGCGCGGAGTGAGAGGACCTTGCAGCGATTGTCAGACGGTAACACTGTACACGAGCACTGTACCACGCACACTAAAGTACACAAGCACCACGCACACTAAAGTACACAAGCACCATGCACACTAAAGTACACAAGCACCATGCACACTAAAGTACACAAGCACCACGCACACTAAAGTACACAAGCACCATGCACACTAAAGTACACAAGCACCATGCACACTAAAGTACACAAGCACCACGCACACTAAAGTACACAAGCACCACGCACACTAAAGTACACAAGCACCACGCACACTAAAGTACACAAGCACCATGCACACTAAAGTACACGAAGGACCATGCACACTAAAATACATGAAGGACCATGCACACTAAAATACATGAAGGACCATGCACACTAAAGTACACAAGTACCACGCACACTAAAGTACACAAGTACCACACATACTAAAGTACACAAGCACCATGCACCTTAAAGTACACAAGCACCACGCACACTAAAGTACACAAGCACCACACATACTAAAGTACACAAGCACCACGCACACTAAAGTACACAAGCACCATGCACACTAAAGTACACAAGCACCACACATACTAAAGTACACAAGCACCATGCACACTAAAGTACACAAGTAACACGCACACTAAAGTACACGAAGGACCATGCACACTAAAATACATGAAGGACCATGCACACTAAAGTACACAAGCACCATGCACACTGAAGTACACAAGCACCATGCACACTAAAGTACACGAAGGACCATGCACACTAAAATACACAAGCACCATGTACACTAAAGTGCACAAGCACCATGCACACTAAAGTACACAAGCACCACGCACACTAAAGTACACAAGCACCACGCACACTAAAGTACACACGTACCACGCACACTAAAGTACACAAGCACCACGCACACTACACAACAGACCATGCACACTAAAGTATAGATTTGAAGCTTTCGTGACTGCAAGGATTCATATTCTTAGGTTTTTTCGGTAAAGTCACGTAGGTAAAACATTAAAATTAATAGAAGTAAAATAAAATAAAAATCACGACGTTTCGGAGGCAACACAAGCTTCCGTCTTCAGGTGGAACCGTCACAGCAAGTAAATGAGAGATTGCAAGAGCTACCACTCCGTATATATAATGGTTGGAGAGGGGGAAGGGCCAAATACGGCACACTTTTTATTAATATGGTAAGGTGAGGCTTAAGGGGCTGAGCCTTTGTTATGGAGAGGTACGGTTTGTGACTAAGCCTGGCCTACATAACAATAGTGTGAAAAAAGAAACAAACTAAACATGGTAAAACAAGCCTGGCTTTTTATCAATAACCTGTAATAGTTGTCTGTCAAATAAGATGGTCCAAATAAGTGTAGTTAAATCTTTTTTGCATGGTTAATCACATCTTTCCAATGAATACTCAGTTTGTAACCATCATCACGGTTGAAATTATGTCTTTGTTTGTATATTTGTATGGCTTCGTGTACAAACCTTTGATGGTAGCCAGGAGGTTTGCAGAGCACCTTGGTCTCGGAAAAGACAATTTCAACCGTGATGATGGTTACAAACTGAGTAATCATTGGAAAGATGTGATTAACCATGCAAAAAAGATTTAACTACACTTATTTGGACCATCTTATTTGACAGACAACTATTACAGGTTATTGATAGACAGCCAGGCTTGTTTTACCATGTTTAGTTTGTTTCTTTTTTCACACTATTGTTATGTAGGCCAGGCTTAGTCACAAACCGTACCTCTCCATAACAAAGGCTCAGCCTCTTAAGCCTCACCTTACCATATTAATAAAAAGTGTGCCGTACTTGGCCCTTCCCCCTCTCCAACCATTATATATACGGAGTGGTAGCTCTTGCAATCTCTTATTTACTTGATACAGCTGTCGTGGCTGTGACGGTTCCACCTGAAGACGGAAGCTTGTGTTGCCTCTGAAACGTCGTGATTTTTATTTTATTTTACTTTTATTAATTTTCATGTTTTACCTACGTGACTTTACCGAAAAAACCTAAGAACACACTAAAGTACACGAAGTACCATGCACACTAAAGTACACAAGTACCATAGACACTAAAGTACACAAGCACCACGCACACTAAAGTACACGAAGGACCATGCACACTGACATCTACTTGAGTACCATTCACACTGATTCTTATGCTTGCATACAGTAATACATTCAGGATCTAGATGCTAATATCGATGCCTACGAGAGCCATGACGGGAGGGCTTAAGGAGAGAGTTTGTGCCGTGCGTGTTGCTATTCCTCCATTGAAGGAGCACAGACATATCTTAATGTTAGTGAAAATTAGGAATGGTACAACATGTGTGAATTTGATAGTGGAAATGAGGTGAATAAAATAGACAAGAGGAAACAATGGGGGCCAATCTGTGATGCGTGAATACGGTGAAAGCGAAATTGATGACAGTAAACTATGAGAATAATTAATGGGGAATGAGTGATAGTGTGGGGGCTGACGCCCCTCCCCTCCTCTCCCCCCTCCTCCGCCCCTTCTCGCCGGGCTGCCGCCAATCGAGTGATCGGCCTCCTCACACCAGCATCCTCTCTGTGGGACATGGCTAGTGGCTGGCTCCCTACCGCCTCGCGTACCCTACCCCAAATGTCCGGAGGTGGTTGCGTGCTCGCGCGTGCCTGCTGAGGTTTCTTTCCATGGCTCGCGCTAAAAATAGCAGTATGAATATGCACAGGTCCCCCTCCCCGCCTCCCGTTGGGTCGCAATCCACTGGGGCATGCGGGCACGTGCACGGGGCAAAAACGACGGTCGGGTGGATGATAATATTCACGCGTGAATCCTGGTATCTCACGGACGCGATGGGAGTCGGAGGGACGAGGGTCCGGGGGGGGTCTCTGCCTGGGTCGAGTTTTGGCTGCACTCACCAGCATCTCTCGGACGCTCGAGTGGCTGGGAGTCTGACTGGGTAGCTGGCCCAACACAAGCGTCCGTCATCAGGTGGGAAAGCTTTCCCACCTGATGATGGACGCTTGTGTTGCGCCTGAAACGTTGTGATTTAATTTAGTTTTCATTTATTTTATTTTTTACCTATGTAACTTTACCGAAAATACCAAAGAGTATGAATTCTTACAGTCATGAAAGCTTCAAATCTAGAATTGGGGGCACGTTGCGTTCCCTGCGCGGCCAATTGGGGCGCCTACCTTTCGATTTTCAACCGATGCCCCGCCCCTACCTGGCGTTTTCCTCTCACTTGCTTCCTAACCCGTTGTCTTCGTGCCTGTCCTACTCCTCGTGCTCCGGGTCAGGTTTTGCTTTAGTCAACCCACGAACTTTCCCCCGATGCCCCGCCCCTACCTGGCATTTTCCTTTCACTAGCTTCCTAACCCATTGTCTATGTGTCGGTCCTACCTCTCGTGCTCCCCGCATTGTTCGCGGGGCGTTTTTCTCTCCCCTGGCCCTATTCCCCTGGGCTGGGGGGTGTTCTCACTGCGGTTTGCTCGTCGTGCCCATACCATTTTAAGCTAATTCACGGGGCCGCAGTGCAATTCCGCCTGGGGGGGGTCGGCCACTAGTACAACCGGGACAGACCAGGGGCTCGCTGAGGGCTGGATTATGTTATCGCGGAGCATATCCACGACTGCCTCTTTAATCTGGGCCCGTTCAGGTGCGCCCACTCGGTACGCGGGGAGTTTAATGGGTCGGGCGTCAATTTGGTGCTTAACGAGGTCTGTCCGGCCCACATCCGAATTGTACTCACTGAACACGTCGGCATACTCCCGCAGTAACCCTCGTAGCGCGTCAAGCAGGGGGACGACCTCGGCTCTGGGAGTCGGGCCGACTCGCCAGGCCAGGTCCTGTTTTTTCTCGGGGCGGTGTGCAGGGGGTGTACTGTGGCTACCGCGGTGTGCCATCGCAGTGCTGCTGGGGTACTGTGGGGGTTAAATACCCGCATAAACAGTCGGCCCCCGTCTGCGTTTACCAGCGTGGCCGATCCCACAACCCCGTACCGTGCCGCCAACTCCAGGTGAGGAGTCAGCATTACCTCACCTGATGGTCAGTGTGCGGGGTTGGTGGAGGGTGTTGCCACCGGCACCAGCAACTCCACGAGGGGGCCGACGGTGACGGCCGATGCCAGGATAGTGGCCACGGGCTCAAAGCGGGGGCGACCCAGCTCTTGTCCCATGAACGGAATCCGCTCCCCGCTGACTTCTACGGTGGCGCATCGCTGGCGGGGCTGCACGTTGAGCCCCAACTTTTTCAGGAAGTCGGTACCTGCAATACACTCATGGCACAACATACTCGAGACATAGAACTCCTGGGTACACACCTGGTGTCTGAGACGGACCTCAAGGGTGACCCTCCCCAGCAGTCCCATCCCAGCTCTGCTTGCAGTGTACAGCACACGATCCGGGGCCTGCAGGCGGCCCACGTCAACCTCGAGCACGCTGCAGTGTGTGGCGCTCACGAGTGAGGCCACCGCCCCCGTGTCCAGCAGAATCCGGGTACGTCGCCCTTTCACCTGCCCTTCCACTAGTGACGTGGTCCCAGTGATTCCTGCCACCAGCTCCCACAGCCAGTCGCCCGAAGTCACCGCGTTCTTGGATGTTGTTGCCAGAATCTGCGTGGGGGTCACTCGCTCGCCATTATCATTACAGTTTATTTGTGTTGGGACCACGTCGATTGCACCCCTTGGTATTCCCCTCTCTAGGGAGGCCTTGGTGTTTGACCTTGGCGCTTGTCTAGCTCGGGAGATCTGGGGACAGTCTCTCACGTGATGCCCCCGTTGGTCGCATATATAGCATGCCCGGGGAAGGGTGGCGGCTCCATAGGAGGCACCTTGCTCATTCCCCCTTCCCCTCCCAATTGAGACACCCGCCCAGTTATCCCCCCTACCGTGGAGCGTAGTCCTCCCACCTCGGACTGGTCTGTCTCCACTGTAGTCTGCAGCTTGGTCATATGCCCGCGTACTTGGGTCACCTCCTCGCCTATGTGGGTCACCCGGCCTACAATATCCCCGATGTCGGTCTGTAGCCCCGCC